CTTTCAGGAGAATCTAATGAATATTTTAAATTCTTGGGACAACCCTAGTTCTTCAAAACTCCTTGTAATTCAAAGCAAAGCTATGTTTCCAAAAAGCTTAATTACAAAGTAAGTGTTCTCGATTACTCCAAGCCTATATTCATAAACATATTCACCATTATCTGGAGATAGTGGGTAACTAAGCTTAGCACATAAACACCTCTAGGCAGCTGACAAAATTCAGCTTTTATCCGTGAGACTGCATTTCAGGTAAATGCTGCAAGATTCTCTTTGGGCCACCCAGAACGTAGGCAGCAATTGCTCACAGGCTTTTTGAAATCTCTTCATTTGCACAACATGGCTATTTCTACAGTAGGTAATGGTTTACATCCAATTTCAGATGCACACGCTAACGGGACCGGAGGAAACCCAGAATCCAGCCTCCTTGGATATGCCAAGGTCAGAAACAGTCTCAATTAGCACACTGTGTTCTCCAAAATATGTAACACTTGGAATTTCCTGGTAGTTTCCACAACAACCTGAGTCAGTACTACCACAGGACAATTTATGAAGGCTTTCTCAGTCCTATGGATAAAAAAACTGCCCACAGCTTGTATGATTTCTCCTCTGTTTAGGGAAGCAGGACTACCACCAAATAACAAATAACTTGACTAAAGACATTTGAGGCCCGTTATCAACTTTTTACCTTCAACTTCAAAAAATTAGCAAAATCCCAAGTATTCAGCTTGTCAGCTGGGTGAAAATGGGGATAACCTGTTTAGAACAGTAATTCAGATACACTTTTCACATTATACTGAATAAATTCCACGCAACTCCCTCCTGCCCTGCACGCAGCTCTTTCTCAAGGGATGCTTTGAAAAGACAGAGGTCTAAACTCTATCTATGCTTTCAAGGCACAAAAACTTATTTTATGATTTTTCAGTTCCCTTTAGCCACACAAATCTGTGAGGAAGTGAAAGAAGAGAAGGGAACAGAGCACTCTTTGTAATTGTATACAGGCACTGGACAATTCTCCCACTACGGTATGGAAACCAGTGGTGTTATGCTCTATTTTTTTAAGAATACAAACGTTGCTAATAGATCACTGTATTAGTTTTACTGAAAGAATCCAAAGAATTAAAACTCAGTTTCTGCTAAGTTTCTTACCTGCTCCCACCAGCTGGAGGGAGAACTAAACTGTATTTAGAGATCAAATGAGATCTGATATCATGAGGGGCTGCAGGGGGAAGGAGGGAAATCGGGAAAGGCTGGGATTGGGTGAGATCATGTGGCACCAGTAGATGGGAGCCTTGAATCACCAGACCTATGTTTTAGTTAGCTGCATTTCATGTGAGCATTATGGAAGATGTGGCTTGTGAGAATCAAATGGGAGAGGACAACAGCAGATCACCCCGAGAGCATGAAACAGGGCATCTTGGAGGAGTGGAATAAGTTATCTGTGAACTAAGGGACAGTGAGGCATAGACAACTGATCAAACACACTCATACGGAAAAGTTTGGGCTCCTTGACTTCAGTGGCTCCCATTGGAAAGTCTACAAACTCAGTGGGTCTCAAGGAAAACCAATGAGAAACACCAGACACGTCACATCAGCCCTCTGTCACAAAAAAAAAAAAAAAATTACGCTTGGATTGATGTAAAAGCCTACACTTCTCTGCACTTGTCTATTCAGTCTAATTTCATCATTCAAGACAGGAAAAATGCAAAAGGAACAAACAGCCCATCTTCCACTACTGCTTCTAGGAAGTTTTGCTTCCAGATGCTCAGGAACCAACAGTAACTCCTGGGCTCACAAGGGATATGTCAGTTGATAGCAGGGAATGGCACCAAGAATTCACAGGAAAAGCCATTTTAAAAGCTTATATACTGTCTAAATTTGGAAGCAATTTTGGTCACATCCTATTTATTCAGTCACAGAATCAAGTATCTCATTGAGAGATACGCCTCTCATTGAAAAAAAGCAAGCGTTGGTTCAGAAGTAATCCCGTTACAGTATTTCAAGAAACATGAAGCAACTTAGCCTTGTTAAAAACAATTGCAAAACTCTTCCATGGAGGGCTTCTGTGTACCTTACAGAGGGCAACAAAATTTGAAACATTCAGTATATCCACAGCTACAATTGACCTTGGGAGAACAGTTGTGTAAGTACCTTTTTCTCGTATACATCTTGCCAAACAATGCCAGCAAAGAATTTGTGCTGCATAATCTCCTTGGCATCATCAGGACCGCCACCTAACCTGTTTGGGGCAAAATAAGTAATTAAATGTTTGAGTACAGTTATTTTTCTCATACAATTTTTATTAAATGGTAAATTAAAAATTCGGAGTTTATATAATACATTTGGGAGCAGTTCTAGCATTTGCTTCATATTTGTTTTTTGTGCAAGGATAGTCTATTTTAGGCTTCAACACAGTTCCACTAAAAGATTTGAAAACACTCTAACAAATAGAACTAGAATAAAGATCTCTCTCAAACAAACAAACAAGGAAAAAAAGTAATAATCACAATTCAAAAGACCTGCCCTTCAGGAAAGATGCTGTCCTAGGGACCACAGCAGATCCTGCAAGTAAAAGGTCTGAGCCACACACCCTCCTCTCTTTCTAAATTAGTAAGTGACTACCCCTTACAATTTTATAGAGCAGAATAATGCCAGCAGTAAAACTGAATTTGATTTTGAAGTGTAAGAGAGGCAAGGATTTTTAAGACAAACTGATTTATGCAACCTGACTTAAATTTCCATTAAAGAAAACAGTTGACAACTGCAGTGATAATATCGTGTTGTATGCAAATCTTTCCTCCTCCTTGGCTTCACAAAAGCACAAAGAGTGTTTTATTGACTTAAGGTATATGAAGATAAAGCACTTTTATTCCAAAATAAAACTGTCCACACAGCTTATAGATGCAATCAGTTTAGTTGCAGTCTTGAGCTAACAGATGCTTAAATTTTGCTGTGGAGGTTAAAATGTTCTCTGAAAGATTGAACCACATCTGCAAGCAAAGGCATGCACTGAGAAAACAAAACACATACTGAGTAATCAGCAGGAGACTTACTTTCAGGTAACAAGGTTAAGATGATGTTCAGGGTTTTTTAAGTACAAGAGGTGTCACCATGTTCATCCAGGCTGACCTCTAGTATCTGCTTGTTCTCCGATTCTTGGTGCCACTGGCAAACTGAGATATTATCTCTATTTTTAGAGCTTGGAACAACAGCTCTACATGACCAAGGCTAGAGCTATAACACTATAGAAAAGCGGGTCAAGGACTGTTCTTTGAACCTTGAAGCCAAGCTGCCCGGCCAGGCCTCCTCCTTGCTGCACAGCAGTTGGCCCTGAATCTCCTTGGGCCACATGCGGTAACCCTGTGGCCCTAATACATGATTATTTGGGGGTGGAGGGAAGGGTTTCGGTTCAGAATATCAGAGATAATGTGAAGGCTATGCTACAGGCCATTGAAGTGGTATTGTGACAGCTTGCGACCATACTGCATGCTCTGGGACACAGTTCGAAGGCACAATGCTATTGGGACAGCACTGGACAATTGTTTAGCGAGGAGGAGTCAAATATGGCGACACTTTGTCCATACTGCCGACTGGGAATGGATCCTGGTGCATGCAACCCTCTCAGGCATGCCCGAGCACTGTCTTCAGAGAGCGCAAGCTGGCAGAGGCCACAGCTGTACCAGAGAGACCACGCAGCAGAGGTGCCTGGCAGTTCAGAGTCCATGCTTGCTTCCCAGTCCTCTTTCATTTACTGGCACAGCAACCTCAGGGGTTTGCTCCTTCATGTTCCTTCAGGAAACGTGCAGTGGAACAGGGAACAGATCTCCAGTCTTTGAGTCGCAAAGTGTTGGGTGATGGTCTCCTTCCCCAGGTAAGCTCTAAGGCCAAGCCTAAGTTCACCTTAGAGCCCCACAGGCCAAACCAAGCCGGACGATGGCTTTCCCATCTGCCTGGCAGCACCTTATACAGCTGCAGAGCAGCCTGGAACAGAGGCAAACTCCAGGGCAGCCTGGGAACACAAACTCTGCGAGTAATCATCTCTCGGCTGGTTCCCCACAGGTCTAGAGGCTTTGCCAAGTCTCTACCAGGCATCTCGTTGCTTCCCCAGTGCAGATGACAATGGCCAGTGAAGAAGAGGGTGGAGTCAATCCTCTTTATCCACAGATGTCAAGAGACTGCACTTCTGCACAGAAGATCAGGAGTGACTATAAGCTAAGAAGAACCTGAATTGTGTTCTGCAGAAGCATGCAGGAAGGGTGGCTGGCTGCAGCCACGTACAAGTGCTTCGGAGAATGCGTTATCTAATACGAGCCTTTGATCCATGAAGGGCAAATACATACTCAGGGAAATGCCAAGAAGAACCCCAGATGTTTTACTTACCTTTTAAAAATCTATACTATTAAACAAATCCATTCCAAGTGAATGGGGAAATGATAGAAACCTCATATTTTGGATACGGACTTACTCCAAAATACACTCCTGTTTTTCAGAATTAGTATGAAAGGACCCTCTCAAGGAGAACAAAATTAAATCAGCACCTAACACAAAAATTATAGTTAAGCACCACTGAGAACTGAAAGAGCAGCAGGTTTGTCTTTCGTAAGGACATGCAAGAAC